AACTGCATTAAAACTATTTGAGGTTTGTTTTAAAACCATCTTGCTGTTTTATTTTTTAAAATAGCAATTTAGTTTTAAAATAAGCAATGTCAAGAGTATTATATAACCAGTATAAGATCAATAGATAGTTTTTTATATAAATTTAGAGAGTGCATTAATTTTTTTGCAAAAGAATAAGTGGTCTTTCAAAGCTTTTAGTTACTTAAAAACAAATATCGTTTTATTGAACATATTAAAGTGCTTTTAAAACTTGTTAACTTTGGTGACAAATGACATTTCTTCATTCTTTGAATATAAAATTTCATTTTATTTAAGCGCGTGTCATGACCTATATTAGAAAACTTTTTTCGTAGATCGCTCTTTACCTACTATGATGCTAGTGGTATTATTTTACATTGGACAGCAGCGGCTTAGCAGGTTCACTAATATGTATCGATATCTGTAGTTAAGCAGGGTTGCCTGCAGTTAGTATTTGGATATGTGACTATCCAACTTAAGTTCAAACAAACTGCCTGCGTAATTGCATACCACAGCTGGCAGGCGCTATATTAAGTACGAGAAGACGTAAAGCCGTCGATCACGAGTCCATAGATGTTAATTGTTTATTGTAACTCTTGGACATCTTTTTTACATGATTGTATATGTAATTTGAAATTTAAGGTTTGTAACTTTGCAGAAACAATAATTATTAATATTGATAAAGATCCTTTTCTTGGTTTTTTATTCACAAGTCATATTAATAAATACAATTTTGTATTTTCTTTATTACGGGTAGATATTTGTAAATAAATGTCAAACAAAGTCAGAATTGGTAAACATACAAATATAGATAAAATGTACTAACCTTGCATTAATAATTAATTTAACTTCATTTTATAAAGTTTCCATTCCTATGAGCGTTATTTGTAGATTTTCAAAGTCTTCCTAACAAACGAATACTAATTCGTAGTATTAAAAACATTCGTTGAGGACAAATAGAAATTTAACAACGATTGTAAATGAATTTAGACAAATTTAACTGAGTATACAGCGATGAAAATCAGCCGGTAGATTTATTGTTAGAATTTTGTGATAGTTTAAAAAAATTATTGTCATTTTATCTATGCTACCGGATGAAATTCATCCTAAACACTATGAATTTTTGATAAAATTGTGTTAAAAAATCAATGATTGCCTAATTTATGGCTAATGTAAAACTATGATCGTAAATGATGTGTGTAAATTAAATAAAAATGAGTTGAAGTAACACAGTATCTGAAGTAAAGTTTATAACGCAAATTCTTTATTTTTTATTATTATAAATCGTTGATATTAATAAAAAAATTCGAGTGGAAAATATTTGAATAACTAATATTTTTGCCCCTAATTAAAGATCACGTTTTGAGTTTTTTCAAACTCTGATGAAAAAGGCCTAAACTAAATGAGTAATTTGAGGTCTCAACATTGTTTAAGAACTTCAAGATCGAACTTTTTTAATAATATCACTTAAAACAATAAACATTCATACAAAAACTATATATAAATATTAATTTATTTTCATAAAGTATCATTTCATATGAAAACACCAAATAGGAGTAGTACATTTTAATGAAAATAAAAGTATTAAAGTCTTCCCAGCAGTTAGTGTGTTACTTCTTACTAAAATAACTATTATAGGCTTAAAAAATTGACTATTCTTAATAAAGCGTTGCCATTGTGTATTTTTTATTTTAATATAAATTTGTCAGGTGCGTTGTGGAATATTTTCTATTCTAATAAATAATTTTAAATTTTTAAATTTTAATGCAAAACATTTTTAAATAATATATCTTTCATTATTGGGAAAACATGGATAGTAGGTTGCAGTAAAAAATATTTAAAAAAACATTGGAACCAATTTCTTTAATATATTGAATTTTTTCCTAATGGGATATATGAGATCATAATCATTTCTGTGGCAAAAATAAAGGATTAGTATAGATGACTATATCATGGATAGTTGGTTGTAGTAAAAGAAAATTTAAAAAACATTGGGATTGATTGATAATTTTATTATATTTTTCCAAATTTCTTTAATATATTGAATTGCTTTCAGCAATCTATAAAAAAGTTTTTCCCTAATTGGATATATGAGATCATAATCATTTCTCGGTCAAGAAAAAAGGATTAGTATACATGACTAAATCACTAAATCATGGAAAGTTGGTTGTAGAAAAAGAAAATTTAAAAAATATTCCTAATTTTATAATTTCCTTATGAATTTCTATAATACATTGAATTGTTCTCAGCAACCTATAAAATTGTTTTTCCCTAATTACATATATCAGATCATAATCATTTCTCGGGGAAAAAAAGAGGATTAGCTCTATATTTATTCACATAACCGAAGACATTTTGAAATGTTTTATTTAAAAGTAAGAATTAATTATTCTACAGCACACTTTGTCCAGGATGTTCAATTTATTTGTTATTACATAGACAAGTCGGTTGCAGTAGAAAACGCACTAAGATATACACAGTTGTTAATTAGGATAATATCATTATTTTAAAATCTTAAGTAGAGTCTTTAAATGCCATTTTGACACTACGCTTCTTTTAGTGTTGTAACGTGCACTAACGGCTGAACTTGTTATTTTAAGATTTATTGGTTGTTAGCATTGTTTTAGTTTAACGTTAAGTTTACTGTCAAATATCATGGTTTAGTAAATAATTCAGATTTAAAAGCTGTACAGAAAACATGAACATGCCTCATTTTGGTAAAACCACATTTTTGAGCTTTGCCGAAAAGTGAGGACATACGTGATAGAATAAAGAAAGCTACATTGTCTAAATGATATTTAGTGACTCTAATCTTATCTACTCGCGATAGATATTTATATAAAGTATATATTGTATGTATATCCATACATAAGCAGTTGCAGAGTAAGTGACGATGCCATTGGTACAGGGTATCTGTCATTTACAGTTATATATTAAACCACTCACTTCGGTTGCCTGTCGAAAATTATTTAACTGATATTTTTAGTATTATTTCAAAACATGTAACTTTTCAGGAAAAACAGTTACTGTTTTTATAAATCGCAGTTTCCTAAAAAAAAGGTTCCATTCTTTAATATTGATATATTATTAAAAAATAATGTCTTAGATTTGAGATTTATTTGGAACTTGCTAGTTAGTTTCTTACAATTTACTTATCTGTTGATCATTTTTGAAATGAACTCTACCTACTTTTTATTTATTAGTAATATTGAAAAAGGCAGCTCACAACTGACTTGTTATTTATTGGTATTTTTTTATTATTTTAATTTTAAAGACTTTTATAGTATCCAAATGTAAATTTTTAAATCGTATTTCTGTATAAAATCTTCTAATATAAACTTCTACCATCGGACAAAAATGTTCAATGTTTACTATTTCCATACAGTGTTTTTAATTTTTTTCCGTGCTTTGACTACATTGTTCCAATTTTTGCCTTAACCACATACAGACAAATTTCTTATATATAGTTCGTAAAGTCATATACTGCTCAAATACACTAGTTAGATAGGTAAATAATAATAATTAAGGGTCGAAATGGCCTACAATTGAAGTGAACATGTATATACGGGTACATTAATGAAGAATAATAAAGCACATTTTTGGATTAAAACAAGCTCCCTGAGAAAAATGTTGATCTTCACATTTTAGACCCTAATACTATTATAAACAAATTTCCCTGAAAAATACTGCAGCTTCGAGGCTATACAACTTTGATTATTTTAAGACATATAGTGGATGTAGTTTTCTATTTTGTTTAATACGGTTTTACCATTAGTTTTAGTTTTAAAAAATATTATCCTTCACAGCTCCTGGAGTTGGAATTTCAAGATTACTTAGCATTTTTATATTAACCCAATTTACTATCAAAATTTAAATATAGATTTCTGCACACTTAGATATTGTGGCTCATAGCAACAACTCTGCTTTATCATGATCATCACGATCACTTCACTAACACAAGCTTAAAAGGTTTGATTCTTTTAAATCTATGCACTACGTCTTGATTGTCTAAAGGTGGAGTACTCCAATGCCTCTTCTCATATCTCTTGGTAATTTTCTTAATTTCTTCTGCAACTGATTTAATTTTAAGTTATCAGTACAGGTCTTTATTCCAAACATACCAAGGAGCATTAACTATGTTTCTGGGAATTAGGTTTTGGACTATTTCTAGGAAATTGTAATTGCTTTTTCTGGTACACCCCATATTAGCTAAAGAACTTGTTTGTAAATCAGGACTTTGTTTTATGTGAAAAATGAAGATAGTAGGTCTTGGTGATATATTTTATCGAAGGATTTTAAGATATGAAGAAATACTGCGAAGCAAATTTTTGTTTTCTTCTAGAGAATTTTTATTTTTATTTATTACGCGATTGATCTGATCAAACGTAGAATGTTTATATCGAAATCCGAACTAATGGGACAAGATAAGTTGTTGTTTGTCGATTATCTTGTTCAGTCTTCTTAGTAGCAATTTTTTAATAGTTTTTATATCACAGGTAGAAGCGAGATTGGTCTATATGATAATATTTCATTATTGGGTTTTTCCTGGTTTGGGTATCATTAGTACCTTAGCAGTGAAATATTTTGAAGCATAAATGCTGCTTTTATAATATTGATCAGTACCTTTTCGTGGTAATTTTTTTACTATCTCTCCATTGATCAGATCCTGAAAGCTATTTTTACATTATTATTATTATTTTGATTTCCTTTTGTACTTCTTTGGAATAAATATACTATTTTTTCTATATCACTAACTTCCTCTATTTAACATTCTTATCCATTTCAATTTTTTCACCTTCTCCTGGGTTTGGATGGAAGATGCACTTTAAATAGTTGGTAAAAGCATCAACTTTTTGTTTACAATCTTTACCCATATCCCATTTTCTAGTCATATTAGGGGTATGTGTTAGATTGAATTATTATTTTTTTGACGTCTTTCCTTAATGAATTATTATTGATTTGGTCATCTTCGAGTTCTTTCGGTTATTTTTTAGTTGACTCATTTTCAATTTTTTCTATCTCTCTTCATAGCTGTTGTGTAGTTCTATTTAATTTGTTTCTGTTCTCTACAGTTCTCATTGTTTACCACTCCTTTCGAGCCTTTCGTTTTGTAATAAATCTCTTATTTCTTTGGAATATTAAATACACATGATTTTTTTTTACTGATGGTGTAGGTATTATTTCATGTAGCTTGTTGTATTAAAACCATAAATAATTATCTTTCTGTATTTAAATCTTTGACCGTTCTAATTGGGAGATTTAATTCAAGTTGAAATCTTTTCCAGTCTGTATGTTTGTTCGTCAGTGTGGGACTGAGTTCTCTAGGGATAGTTTCTCACTCATTTTTAGTTAAACATAAATAGTAGAAGTTAAAACATTAAAATTTGCTGCAATATTTTTGAAAATAAAAAGTTCAGGTGGTCCGGTACGTGACAACTTTAATAACTGATAGTGGTTTGTATCGAAATAAGTTTTTCAGTTTTAGCAATCCATGTACCACAGAGATATTCCATCACTATGGTACAGTCACTTAATAATAACGGAATTCACTCAACTTGATTGATGAAAAGCAGCCTCATATGACATAGGAATTATATTCTCAAAAACAATGAAAATATTTTGAAGATTGTTTTTATATTTAGGTATATTTGAATCAAACTAATTTATTGTATAAAGGGTGTTCCTTAATTATTATTTAATATTTGAACAGGGTGTTCTATCAACTATTTAAGGGGGGTTTGTCTATAACATTTTGCAATGTGGGTCTCTTTGTTGAAATGACAAACAAAAAGAATGAAAAATGTAATTTCTTAACAACACAAAAACTACTTGCGATTTGCAGTAACCTATGACGAAAATTTTTATTAAAACGTTTATTAAAAAGTTTTTAAATAGAAAAAGGCAGTTTCAAACAGATGAACTGAAAAGGGATACCATCACAAAATTGAACTCGGCTAACGGATAATGTCTACAAGAATTACATCAGAATCATCATTTAAAAAAAAAACTAGCTTTTCGCCATTTTGAGACCTAAATTGTTAGTAGATTATACTATTAAAATATTGTAATATCTTCGCGGAACACCCTGTATATATGCATTTTTTTTTTTATTAAAAGAAGATGCAACTGTGTTATTAATAATTAACGAGAAGCAAGTCTTAAATGTTTTGTTTAAAATCTATTAGACAAATTGTTAATTTGTATGCATAATGGCTTAATCGGTAAAGCAAGACTCAAGTAGATAATGGGCAACTTGAGCACACTTTTCAAACTGCGCATGTGTGACATATGACAGTTGTCATATGTCATGTGAGCTGTCATATGTCATGCATGCACAGTTTGAAAAGTGTGCTCAAGTTGCCCATTAACTACTTACTTAATATTAGCAAGAACTTTAAACAAAGAAAAATTAAATTTTCACAGTGAGACTTTAACAAAAAAATGTGCGTCATTGTTCTTCGTAAATTTCGACAGGCAACCAACTCTGAGCACTGCGGCTTCCAAACTACACTCTATGTGCAACTGCGTTTTTGGACGCACTTTGTTGAAAAATTGTATAGTAGTAGCCCTTTTCTGGGCAAAGGGTCATAATATGGAAGAGAACAAAAAATTTAAAAAATATCTATCTCTCGCAATCTTAGCTAACGAAAAGGTTTTTCACAGAATCTTTTTATCAGAATAAAATGTATATTCGAAATTATTGATTTATATCTGACTATTTGTCTAAAAAGAATGATCATATTCCACCAAAAACTGAAATGCAGTGTTTTTATAATTTCTTGAAAATGTTTTAAATATGAGACTTGTGAAAAACCAATCTAACGTGTTAAAAAATCACAAAATCTGTATACTATTCTATAAACTAAAAACTTACCTTTTTAATAATAATATAGTGCAAAAAACAGGGTAAATCATTGTTAATTTTCCCTATCATATATTCCTAAATCTTTCAAAGCAATTAATAATATTTCTATACTGACGATTCTATCTAGTATGATATAAAAAAGTAAAAAAATGTGTAATATTTATTTCAGTAATTTTGCCATAACCTTCAATGTTCTATCGTCTCGGAGTCCTTTTAATTTTCGTGTATGAAAAAATAATGTCAGGTGCATATTTAAATAATAAAAATAGGAAAATTATTTCACATATTATTCAAAAAAATTTGTTTGACAAAAGCTCGAATCATCTAGATAGAATCTTCAAAAATATTCTCAACTTTCTTACAATCTTCAACAACACCAATCTTTTTTTAAATTTGTTGTTCTCACCTTTAATAATTCCTCCGCTAGTTCCTATGAGTTGTGCCAAATTTCGTCATCTATAATTGATGATTTCTTATTTAGCCATAACGTTTTTATACCATCTTTCTAAAAAAAGCTCAATTCATAGTAACAGTGGACAATTCGTCGTACAAGATCGATCATCGAAAAACAGCAAGCAATTTACTAGTTGGCGTGTGTCGAAGTGGGGATGTTACAATTAATTTGAACTTAATATCAGCGATAAAATATTAAGGTTTTATAATCATCAGTTTAAAAGATTAAATTGTTTCCACAGTGGTAAAATATTTTAAGGTGATCTATTAGTTCGTAAGTCCAAATTTTCAAGATGAAACAATATTTAATCAGTAAGTCAAAAAAGAATTATAATAGTACGAGATATGGTATTAAAAATATATATGCTCTCATCTGTTATTTGATGATGAAAAAGATTATTATTATATGTTAGATGATACGTACATTGACAAATCGCAAATTGGTTGCTTAGCTGAATCAGAGGCCAATACTGTGGAATAAAACTTTAAATAATTTTTTTTTTTGAATCACTGCCCAGATTTGTTATTGTTGAAAATCGAGCGTTTGTTGAGAAAATATTACACAAGAAATAGGAAAAATATAGGTGTCTACTTTTCCTCTAGTACAAAGAGCATACATTATTAATATACCCGTATCAGTTATTTAATAGAATTTTTTATAAAATGCCTTGTCAAAAGTCTTCATAGTCACATCGAACGACAAAAAAGCACTGGACTAATCCATTCATTCATAACTAAGCCATTTTTTATTACAATCATTCAGATTGTGTTTAATATTATGTAGACAGAGCTGTCGCATCGGCTGCCGCATTACAAAGAAGGAGACAACTACTAATTTGAGTGGGGATATGTTTATTTGAGGAACGAGCATGCGTTTTATAAACGCCTACTACGTTTGCTTTACATTGCTATCACACTTTAAAATAATTGCGTACTTTCCTTAGTTGCCACGAGAAAAAATATATTATAAATTGATAATAACTGGCATTAAAAATGCAAATATACTTTCCTAATGTAATTTTAAAAGCCTTTTGTAAGCTTTAGAGCCATACGTTCAGCCAACACTGAATTTTAATCATGCTACGTGGAGACACCGTAAAACTTTGCACTTTTTCATCGTTGGTCACATCTATTGTTGCCAAGAATTTAATTGTTAAGTTTTCAGTCTAAGCAACATGCAATAGATAAGGACACCGAGAGTTTAGGAAGATTTTTCCGATCGTGGAAGAGCGCTTTGTTGATAATTATAATGTTAATATTAACAAACATTCGACAGAGAATAAATTTACTTAAAAAATAAAATAATACTATTTATACAATTAAAATACACAAAGGATAAATTAATTATGTAGCCAGAATAAGTATATAAATGTTGGTTAAAAGACGCAGGATTAGCATAGCTGTTTTTCCTAAAGTGCATCAATATATAAACAGCCCAGAACAAAAACAAAACGTTCATTGAAACTGCCCCACAAAATCACACAAATCCATACTACATTAAAAATAGGCAGAAACCTGTTACTTAAATATTTTTTTGCAAGGCATATTTTTTAAGTAAGTACTGTTTTGATATTCCGCCGTTGCAGCGCTTCGGTCAGCATTTCGTGCATGTGCGCTGTATACCTGCATCTATTGACAAGGTTGATACGCAAATACTGCAACAATCGCTCTTGATTGGGTGTGTTAGCATGAATTTAAAATGGCACCACCAATCCAGAGTCCCGCCGACTGTAAACTTCGTGCTGATATTTGTTTTCTGAGTGCAAAAAGCTTAAAAGCGATCGATTTTCTAAGTGAGATCTGTGTACTCGTAACGACGTAATCATGCACATTTGTGCGGTCATCTTTACATGTTCGAACCCATTTCCTAACCATTTACCGCCCATAATGATTTGTCCGTAATCTATGCAGACCTCACGATGAACATCCATAGCTTTTAAGTCTTTTGCACTCAGAAAAAGAATAACAGAACGAATTTTAGTGTCGGCGGGACTTTCGATCAGCGGTGCCATTTTAAATGCTTACTAACATACGTAATCAAACACGATTGTTGCCGTAATGGCGTCTGAGCCTTGCCAGAAGATGCAGGTACACAGAGCGATGCGCATGCGCAGCGGTGCAATGGCAGGATATTAAATTAAAATTTTAAATTTAATTTAATTAATTACTTAAAAAATATGCCTAGTAGGTATGTCTGAATTTTTTTCATAACGCTTTCCTTAACTATCCCATATTATTATCCTTAGATATTTTATGTAATTTCTAAAATATAATCCTTTAATTTTCTGTAAACAGCATATATTTTCTTCACACTTAGTCGGTATTTTTAAATTCGCGCCTATACAACCTTTACGCGTGACGTCATGCGCGTGGCCGTCCTATTTTGATACTGTTGATATCCTACCTTTCCTTTTTTTATACTATGGTGTGATCCCATAAATAAGAGCGGCAAACACCTGTACCTATTCAATTTTCTCTTTGACGAAAAGATCGGCTGGGTCTTTCAACGATGCGGATATTTCCTGGAAATCCATTATTTGTGAAAATGTTTTAGAAGTTGTTTCCTTTATTATAAAATACAGCTGTGTAATAACAACTTGTAAAGACGTGGAAAGTTGTCATCAATTAGTTTTTTTATTTTTCATTTTTTTTTTTTTTCATTTTTCTTCACTTTCTTTAATTTTTTAAAAGTTTTTAAAATATTTTTTAATTTTTTTTTAATTTTTTTTTATTTTTTTTATTTTTTTTTTATTTTTTTTTTATTTTTTAATGTTTTTTTTATTTTTTTATTTTTTTTATTATTTTAATTTTTTAATTTTTTTAATGTGTACAATTTCTTTATAATAATTTTTATGTATTATTTGGTCCTAGGCCGTATGAGTCATGGCCAAAACGTAGCCCAATGCCCAATAGCGTAAAGTTTTTAAGAAACCCGGAGAATATTTGAAAAAAGGCCGCGGTTTGGGAAACAAACCACAATGGTTCAAGGATGGACCATAGTCCAAGGATAGACTGGTTAGTTTATCATAGTTAGCACTAGTTTAATTTAGTGTTTCGTATCTCAAAATAAAGTTTATTGCTTACGCGCGAGTGCAGAAACACCGTGCGGTAGCATTCCCTAATGAAGTATGTTATTTTAGGTTATGTAGGGAGTGGGGTGTTACACTGCAACCTAAAAGATCTATTGTGTCCCTTTCCGTCGCTAATGCAGCAAGAAAATGTCTCAATGCCTATAACGACCCTTTTGATACTATCTTCTTAAGGAAGTGTAGGATTTGAAGAGTCTTCAAGTTAAGTAAATATCTTCTATTTGATATGCTTTTTCTAGGTATAATGCCCTTGGATTCTGGAGTGCTACTCATAGTCAGAAAGTGAATGAAGGTTTCGTCCCCTCCTCATAAAATCTACACTCAATCTCCTAATACTCAGTTTGTCCCTTGAGACGACACTACCCAGTAAATATCCCTGTTGCAATACGTAGCCTATTCTAGCTCAGTCAGATACAGGCTTCTAATCTTTTCTGGTTATAATCACCCATAAGTATTTTTGCCTCTCCGAACGCCAAGAGATTGTTCCAATTGTCGGTTCTTCTACTCCCCAATTTTTTTCTTAACATTGTGTTACTGCTGATACCTCAGAACAGCTAAGGTTCCACAAAGTGACAATAATTTTATTTTACTCACTTTATTTTGTAGGCATCTCTAGGCCATTTTTGAGCTGATTACGTAAACGCTAAGCCTTTGATGACTGCTTAGTTATCGGACATGATGATAATTTCTTGTCTATGATAGTGTCACTCGATGTTAAAATGGATACACTTCTCAATGGTTTCAATTTCCGCCTGGAAGACGCTTAGGTGTTTTTCCAAACTTTATGGTTCTATGCCCATACACTCCTATCCCAGTTCCTTCTATTGTTTGGAAACCGTCCGTATACCACTGAATAGCATGTCTTTCGGTTGCAAGCACCATGGATTCTCAACTGTACTTCTTTGTTATTTCACCTTGGGACAAATCCCAAGTATTTTTGGTCCTGAAGTTAATAGACTTTCATCTTATTACTTCGTTCCTAATCATTCTTTATTGTGTCCTCTTTGCCACATTCTCAAGCATTAAATGTAGGGGGGTGAAGTTTAAGATCACCTCCTTTCTTTGAAAAGGATACTAGTGTTGTTTTAGTAGGGTTTATATAATTTTATCATCTCACAGCACCATCTTTTGGTGTGTTCTAATCCTCTTTAAACTCTATCACATAATATATAATCCAAACTTGCTTTAGAAAATATGACTATGTAATCGGCAAAATCTTGACAAGGTATGACGAGGTCAGGTAATATGCGGTTAGGCTCCACATTGTGGATATCCTCTTATTGTGCAGATGTAGATGGTGTCTTGCCCTATCTGTGTCTCTACTGTTCTCGTAGACAGTAGCTGAGCCATCCATCTGGAGGTAGTGTTTTCTACTACTCTGTATGCAAGTGCTCTTTTTACAGATTCCTGTGGCGTGTTGTCTAATGAAGTAAAAGGAATCACTTTTCGGCCAGTTTAGTCATCTTTGTCTATCACTCGCAGTAAGGTGCATGTCCCCCTTTCTTTCATTAAGCAACTGCCTAGCTCACACCTGTCTTTCTGCATCCTTTTCTGTCGCATGAAGTGACACGTGCAACGCTTCTCTGTTACCTTGCTCGCGCTTAAAACTTGAAACATTAAAAATCTAGGCAACCATGGATGTGACACACTTTTGACAAAGCAACATAATACTGTTGGATATGGAATAAAGTAACCTTTTATTTCATAAAAAATCAATTAGATAACTGATAAAGGTATATTTATTACGCCTGTTTGCCTATTTGTACCTGCAACTTCATAACTGTATTAAAGGAAAAATTAGGCAACCTATATGTTTGGTCCCAAACTCTTTAGATCCAAAATAGCCTAATACTTATTTTTAGTTTTTATTCATTTTATTCCCTAATAGATTTCTTACTGTTTACTAGGTTACACCTTCTTTATAAAAATATGATAAAACGTAGCAGAAAAAAGATGTCACAAAAGTCATTAGAAAAATCATGTAAAATAAAAAAAATTTCACGCATTCCATTGTATTTTTAAGCAATTTATTTAAACTTTTAAGTTCTCTTGATTTGTAGACGTATGTAAATGTGTTTTGAAAAAAAAATACTTGGTTTTTATAAAGAAATACCTAACTCTACCTGTACTTTAGTCGCTAAACGAGGAAAAGCGAATGCCATCCGTTTACTATATTTTTCCAATTTGTTGTGTAATAATCTCTCAACTGATGTTCAATTTTTATCAATAACAAATCGAGAAAGTTAATAAAAAATTTTATTAAAATTAATATTATTTAGCAGTATTGGCTTGTGACTTACCTAGGCAACCCAGTTGATTTATCAATGTACATATTATCTAACATATAAAATCTTTGTCATCATCAAACCACAGATGAGGGTAAATATTTCTTATACCGTGTCTTAGAGTATAAGCAGAATTAAATGAAAACACTTGAACTAAGGAAAAAGTGTTATTGAATCAAACAAAATTTGTTTCACCTATTCATTAAAAATTATGGTCTATCTCAAATTTCAAACAACAACTTAAAAAATAATTTGAATGAAACTACAAATTTAAATTTTTAAAATAGCAGTGTTTAGTGGTACTCAACCAACATTTTCATCAACAGAAATAGTTTTAATTATTGCCAAAATGGTTTTTAAGTTTAAATTTGAAAAACGTTTCAAAGTAAACAATTGAATTTGGTGAGAACAACCACATGTATTTATTGTATTAAATGGTATGGTTCAATGTTATGGACATATGTGACGAATGAGCATTAGTTTTCTACAATTTTACCAAAAAATATTTTATTTATTTCATTAATTATCCTTTTGTATGTTGGTTAAGTAATTTTTTAAGAAAACACTGTATTCATGTTACTTGTACCAAATCTCAAACACAAGTATGGATTGGTATACGTACATACAATATTAAAACAAATATTATTAGCTAATTTCTGAGTTATTAATATTCATAAATAAATTCAAAACAATGGGATAAGAAAGATGTCGATCCTGTACGACTTTGGGGACTCGGGGAACCCCCTAGAAGCCTACAATGTGTTTGTTGTTGTATAGAATTTTGCAAAACCTCTAGAGGTGGCGCTAGGCGGTTTTCCAACCAAAATACACACGATTGTATTTCGATATTCATCTCCATCAATATGTTATTTGTTAACCTAAATGCTGTTAAGTAATGTTAAGATTTAAAAAGAACGGTCGCAAACTGTAATATATATAATGTATCAAAATGCTCACAGCGACTAGAATCGAGTAAATAAAAGTGTATCCCACTGTAATTTTTGTTTTTATTTTACTCTGCTCTTCTAAACATTCCTTTATTATACCTACATTAGCTAGACTATTTTTTCAACTGTAAGTGCTTAAAAATAAAATTTCTCTAACTTGTATGGAATCTATATTAACAGTTATTAGTTATTCGGGTCTATTGGGGTCTATTCTGTAACAATTCCTTTATATTTAACGGCCTTTAAAAATATTGGCGGCCTATAAAAATATGTTCGTATTTGTTAATTTACTTCCATCATTATTTAAACAGATTTCTTTAAGATAGTCCTCTAACGTATTTTAAAGATCCGTTTAAATAATGACCGAATTAAAGAAGAAAATATTTTTAAAGGCCGTTATATATAAAGGAATTTTTACAGAATAAACCCCATTATCAGTTAAAATTTTTTTAAATTTTAACGGTACATCGTACCTATTAGACAGTGGACAAATGACACATAGACAGACTGACACATGACATAGGCGTAAGGAGGGAGTGTTCGACATTGGTTCTGGAGTTAACCGATCCATGTGATCTATACTTATTCAAAAATGATACAATGGTTGAAAAGTTGGAAAGGGTATAATAAGTTTCTGCAGGACATGATCCACAAAGCGGTCCAGAGAGACTTATTATAATGGTTTGGGCGAACTATTGTAGCTTCGAATTTTTAGAGAAGAGGAAGGGCAATAGGCCGTATTTATAAAAAAGAGGATTTGCTTTTACTTGCAGAAATTGAAGTATTTCCTTCACATTCTATTCATAAAAATAAGAAGTAAAAGGTTTGGACTTGAAGCAAAAAGGTTTTGTTCCAACGGAAAAGGTTTTGCTTTTTTGGTTTTTAAAAACAGTAGCATTTGCTTTAAAATTAAAGAATTTGCTTTAAAAAATATGCATCTAGTCGAGAGAAGCTTTTGTAATAAATGGTTATTTACTTCAGTCGTTTATATATACTTGTAAGTAGGGCAAAGGTGTTTAGTTATGAAGTGAGTTATTTAATAAATTAAAATTTTTCATGGCGGATGTGGTGGACGTACGCACAGAAAAACTTTACAAAGAAAGGCGTACTACACGTTAGTGCGATTTTCGAACCCATTTTCAGTTTGACGGAAATAATGTGCAATGGTTAGCAGAGTACTTTATCGGCGAGAATCTGGAAACCAGAGAAGGTGCGCTTTCGGTCTTATTGTGGACAAAGCGAATGAATGGATCAAGTTTCCATCGACCGAAAACAAAATTATGGAAGCCAAAGTGAAATGGACAGAGAACAAAAATTTCCCACCTTTTTCATT